AGTTGTTGGTAAAGGTTTGTAAATGGTCAGTTACAGTAGTTGATGGTATTGCTTGGTAAGTGGTCAGTACATTGTTGGTAATGGTTGGTAAGTGGTCAGTAAGTTGTTGGTAATGGTTGGTAAGTGGTCAGTAAGTTGTTGGTAATGGTTGGTAAGTGGTCAGTAAGTTGTTGGTAATGGTTGGTTAGTGGTCAGTACAAACATCAGTCCCTAGGTCGTTGGCATACCTGTTTTCTCTTGGTTGAGAGTGATTTCCCTGCAGACCGATGCACAGGGACAGAACCAAAGAAAGCATCCACACTAGTGAATTGCTTAACAGGTGTTTCTTGTTTTGGGGGTGTTTCTTTCGTACTTTTGACTATTGGTGGTTTGGTTGCCTTTTCTGCTGATTTCGGAATTTTTATTGGTGCTTCTYCATCATCTAGTAATTAAAAATATTCACTATTAAATTTTACACAGCCCTACTACCCCAGTGCCCACACACCCATCAGCCTCCCTTCCCCTTTGATACTTTGGGAATCAAGGACGGGGTAGAAGTAGTGCACTCGCCTCTTGCCTCTGGGGACTTGGGTTTGATTCATGGATTTGGCATCACATGAGAGTTTGTAAACCCCTTTCCAAGAGGATTTTTCTTCAGGTTCTCCTGTTTTCTGTCCTGCACAAAACACAGTTCAACATGCTACCACCATTTCGAGTTTGCCTTTGCTGGACTTTAGCCTTGATGGTGTGCCAATGTGTTGTTTTGTTTATTATGGTCCATTGTATAGTAAGGAATGTACAGTAAATGCTATCGAACAACATGAGTTGGAAACATACATCCATCAATAAAATATTTGAATTACAATATAACAATTGCGCAATCATTGGCTGGCTACGGTGTTCATATCAGATGACCTGTAGAAACGTGCTTCCGCATAATCATTCAAAAATATTTAATAACAGCAAAATAAAACGCTTTATATTCCTTACATACAGCTGTTGTACCCCAAGGTAGTTAGTAATGCTTACCTGATTCATCAAAATATGAAGATTGCTTATTTTTTCCTGATTTCTGCTTTTTAGCCTTTGTTGCACTTTTCCTAGATAAGAAAAATACATAATGCAAGCAAAACTATTCAGTAAAAAAATAAAATCATTGAAAGATTGAATTTTGACTCACTGGTTTTTCATTCATTTAATTTCTTTTCATTGTCTATTGGTCTGTTGTTGGTTCCTTCCTTCCTTCCTTCCTTCCTTCCTCTCTCCCTCCCTCCCTCCCTCCCTCTGTCCGTCCATCCATTTCTCCATCCGTTCGTTCAATCATTCATTCATTCGTTAGTTCCTTTGTTCGTTCACTCGATCACTCATTCGCTTGTTCATTCCTTAATTCATTCCTTCATCATTAACTCACCATTCACCCATTCATTCATTCCTTCATCATTAATCATCATCAATTATCATTAATCACTAACCTTATGTCTTTGGGGATTGGATCTTCATCTGAATCTACAGTAAAAACAATAGTGATATTGATAATTTCATTCAATCCCTGATGATGGGCCATGTGGCCCAAAAGYTTGGATACAAAAAATATCTAATCACAAATAGAAGAAACATTTTAGTTTTTGATAAAAAGTTATATTGGTAAATGCATTTGAGATTTTGTTGTTGTTGTTTTAGAAAAATCATTTGAATTTTCATGATGCACATTTATGATGACTGTGTGATGTAAAATTTATTAGTTACTGAAGTACATGTACTAATAAAAACCTGCTTACCTGATGTATAACTTTTCTTTGGCTTCTTTTGCTTCTTTCTGACGAAATCATCATCCTCATCACTCTCTGAGATGACAATAGCCTGTGGGTAAAAACAAGGATAACTGTTTCAGTCACAAGCTAAAGAACCAACAAGAGCTTAGTGCAAGTGTCTTTTTAATTTCCTGTATCATGAAGAGATTTTTACTCTTGAAAGAGTGTCTTTACCAGGTTAGTGTAATTTAGTGCAAGTGTCTTTTTTAATTTCCTGTATCATGAAGAGATTTTTACTCTTGAAAGAGTGTCTTTAGGCAATTAGCAATTACTGTACAGTAATTACTATGGACTTGTTATGGCTGTTGTAGTTACCAGCTGCCTGGTACTTTTTTGTTCAATTTTATATAATATTACATAATTAGTCACCTTAAATTTGTTTTGCTAAGCTAATCAAATAAATAAATAGTATTCTCTCTCCTGATCCCTGTCCTTGACCCCACCCTGAGGTGGGGTCTGGTCCATCTCATAAATTAAGCTATTTTCCAGGATTCCCCAGCTGTTCGTTTGCACCCATTTATACATCTAAATGGAAAGGCATAGAGCAGTTGTTGTATGACTGCAAAAAGCTCAGTGCCATTACCAGGATGTTTTTTTTGAATTTTGATTGGCTAATTTTTTTTCATGTATTGTGATTGGTCTTGTGTACTAAGGCAGTACAATGACCTAGTTGTGACTGTTTCAACTCTATGTCAATGCAGTGTTTCAGATCTTTGATTGGATGGAGAGTAAGCTGGTCTGCGTATGCCTTTCTGTGTCATGGCTGCATCTGTACCCCACACTTTTCAGTCATACGAAAACCGCTCCATGAACCCAATGCAATGCACCAGACATAGGCTGATGTCTCAACCTTTAGTATGTGTATTGTACTTATAAATATATTTTTGAAATCTTGAGAATTGTATATAATTATTGGTAGCAGATATTTTTCAATACAAAGCCTTGAAATTGTAAAATTCATGTTACTGTCAATGGCTTGCAAAAATTTGATTCCAGTTTACCCAACCTTCCCTCCTAGGACACTTATTTTTTTGCTACAACTATCCTCTTTCTTCATTCCAAGCATGATATCTCCTTTTCTTATTATATCTTCCTAGCAGACATAAGTACATATAGTACAAGTTATATTCCTTTGTAATATGTACAAGTAAGTTAATGCCTCTGTAAAATTCATCACAATAAATTCAACTAAGCAGTGTGAAATAATGAAATAGACCATAAATTTCAAATTCGTACAATACTGCTGTTTCTTGTTTACAAACTCATTTACTCAGGGTTAGCCTCGTATCAGCATCAAAATATTAACAAATACAGTACCAACAGTGAAGTAATTAATGTACAACTTTAAGAATACTTTGGAATTACAGAGATCTGCCTTCATTGGAGTACATGAGTATTCAAAAGGAAGGGTAACCCTGTGCAACAGAGAACTTGACACTGGAGTATTTCACAAACTAGCTCTCTTGTATTCCACATGGGAGTGGCTAATATAACTGTCACTCCTACGTCTAGACAGTTCAAGCTTGTTTATTTCAGTTTTCTGCTCAATATCAACCAAGACAGTTAACAATCCATGTCTGTGGATCTGTTCTCAAAACTGGCCCAATTTCATCTGATCATTACTGTATGGTCAGAATCTCCAGGATCTTCATCATGTTTTGAAATAATAGTTGAAGATAATGAACTAGCTGGAGAGTCCTGGCAGGGTTTTCATTAAGATTTGAAATAATAGGCGAAGATCATGAGCTAGCCAGAGAGTCCTGGCTGGGTTTTTTAAGCCAGAGAATAAATAGCTCAGTTACCATAGCCTTCACAGATCTCCGACCTTTAATCAAAACCCTGACCTCTGTAAAGTTTCAGGCACTACAAGATTCTAATTTGCACACTATTATACAAGTAGTATAAGCAATGTAAATTTCACTGTGTGATCTTTACATACTAATTAGTATGTTCACTTCACTAGTAAGTTGTACTAATGTTTACAAATATAAGCCAAAACAAGAAACAAAAAATATCTTTTTTAAACGCTGAACTATTGATAAACAAGAAGTTCTGAGGTACTTGTATAAAGTTAAAATAATCGTACGCATAATTTAATTTTTGGTATTTTTCGGGGATCTTTTGGTGTGCGCTTAAACGCATGTGTGCAGGGATATTAAACATGTCGGGTGACCACCTAATGTTTTTACACAATCATCTTACCCTTTTGGCTCCTGATGTTTTTCCATCTTTTCTACCGTCTTTATTTTTTGATTTCTTGATCTCAGGCGAGCTGGGACGCGGTTTCTTCCCGCTCTGTTTAGATTTGTCTTCACGAGATGGTGTCCCGTTCGCGCCATTACTACTCGTGCTTTTCTTCTGTTTACCTCCCTGAGGGCTGAAGAAAGCCCTTATATCCTGCGCATATAAATGATCAATAACTATTTTATGCATACCTCGTTTAATAAGAGAAAACTGAGCAACTAACCGCCATTTTTCGTTGTATCAATTCTTGTTTATGTGTTATGCACTCTTACTCATCTTCCCGCCATCTTGATTCTGAGCCCGCAACACAGTCAGCTGACCATACTCTCTATCACACCAGGGGAGGGGTAGGGATATGCTTTTTCAAAATRATAGAGATCTCGAAGCAGCCTTTAAAGAGGTAGCTAAATCCTTATTACAGTATTAGGCACAATTCTAATTTCTCTTTAATCCAAATGTTTTGAATGTTCCGCACAGCTGAATGTTTTTGACTTTGGCTTGGCCATTGCTTCCCCCTCCACCCCCAGCACCACCCGTGTTGTTTGTTTCGTCCGCCTGCACCTTAGCTCTTTATATTAGTGCATCGCTTGATGTTTGCACACTTGGAGGGTATCTGCTGGAGACCGAGTTAGTCATTTTGGCAAGTTTTGTTTCTTCGTTGCTTACATATAGATATCGTACCATTACAATGGCTAAATTGAATTTCTATTTAAATCTTTCAATCTTATATAGCAGATTGATATTATCGTATTAAATAAAAGGCAGTGGTTATTTATTCGTACCGTTAACGTACGCCGACTCGTATTTGCTATTCGTACAGCAGTGGTGCATAAAAGAATTTTTCGAGGATTTTGGTTCTCCTCACTTAGAAAAAAATCAAATGAAGACACCAAGAATCGAAACCCTAACCCTAACCCTAAACCTAAACCTAACCCTAAACCTAACCCTAAACCTAACCACTAAACCTAACCACTAAACCACGAAGTGAATTCGCTTGGGTGCCCTCATTTTTTAGTCATATTCAAATGATGTATCATCAGCACGTGCACAAAAATGTTTATTATAGCTTAATTTATGCTATTTTTGACTGCCGTACGAATAGCAAATACAAGTTGACGTACAGTACGAATAGCCACTGCGTAAATAAGCCTCTCGTCCACACGTATCCGGAAATTTGTGTACCGTATTCGCAAATTTTTTTTTTACGGATACGGGCTGCGTCCACACGTGCACGCAAATTTTTGTGTCCGAATCCGCAAATTTTCAAAAACGGATACGTGTGGACGGTGAAAACGATTCAAATACGCTGCGTGTGGACGCGAACATTTTCGTATCCGCCAAAAAAATTTGGATACGTGTGGACAGGGCCTAAATGGAGAAGTTATGGGTCTAAAGGAAATTTTACACTGAAGCGGGAGATTCTGGTTTCAAAAAGGCCACGGAAAGAGTTCGAAAAAGAGCTGCAAAATTGCTGTTGAAAAGGTAATTATCAAGATAAAGACTATAATACTTTATACAAATGAAGAAAGGTTTCAAATTTTTTGTGTTGAGATTTTTGTTACTCTTACTGTTACTATACCTACGACACCATCAAACATAAAGTTTAGCTAATAGTTTGTGTAGTTAAATAATATATTATTTTTTCTTCCCTTTTCTTCGTTTCAATCAATCGCGGTACCAATAATCCAGTCAACCGAATCAATCTAATAACGTGAACACGAATATAGAGGAAGAATGTGACAGAAGCCAAGCAGATGACGACCTTGAATCTTCCGCGGAAGACGGAATGACAACGAGAACAATGCTTCTCTTCGTCTTGATATTGACAGCAACGATATGAGATTCTCTGTTGATGCACAAGGTGGTACGGATGGCTTGGCAACACGTACTCATGTCCTAGATAAAATAATGCAGCCAGACGAAAAGACTGGCCATTAAAAAATGGGCAGATACCATTTCTGATTCCAGCTCAAGTTCGAATGAATAAAATAACAAAAATACAGACAGCTCAGTGAACGTTAAGTGGTATTTAACTACCAGTAAGTTACAATGTAACCGACGTCCTGGGTTTTAGTTTATTTTGTTCATTGTAACTTGGCGAGTTTACCCGCACATGCGGATTATATATAATGTTCATTCTTATTAAATCTTCATTGCCAGTATAGCTTTCTTGTTAGCTTTTACGTCCATGCTTACACTTCAAATGATATAAAGTCATAACTTTTTACTGAATATGCTCTTCAATGAATTTGGACGGTAAATAAAATTGACGCCGCTATATCGTTATCATATCATATGCTAACGGCTATATTAAATAAATATATATCTAGCTACGCAGTAGGTGTGCTTGGTGCTGATAACAAATGTACTTGCGTTGATAAGAATATGTTATGTTCATGCTTGTGACTAAAAAAATGTTTGTTAAAAGGAAAAATAAATGTCATTTATGCCAACACATGCATGAGAGAAGATATTTTTCCTCCAGATCCATCCAGAAATAGTTAGTCCAAAAAGCAAAATTTTATTCCCCAGACCTTTAGATTATCCCTTTTTATCTCTGTTTTAAAAACGACCAACAAACATAGAATTTAAGGTGCTATAATTTGGAACTTTTAAAGTTGGTATTATCGTCTGGTACTATTAGTGCCAAAACCGCGTTTAGTACCGGTAAATCGTAAAAACTCTAATGCGCTTTGCAATGTATGTCATGTTATATCAACCTCGTTCCTAGGGCCCTCTCGGCCCGACTCCAAAACAAAATGGCGTTGTTTTGGAGTCGGGCCGAGAGGGCCCTGGGAACGAGGTTGATGTTATATGTGCCAGATCCTGTATTTTTAGCATTGGGCTATCTGCCAACCAAGATGGCGCATAGTTTGTGATGTGTTTCTGCAATTATAACTGCAAGTTTTCAATGATTTTAAGCTTTAAGAATCCGACAAAATCGCCGAAAACCAAGTCACACTTGCTTTAAAATAAGGTGAGATTACCATATAATAAAGATGTGGGGTGATGGCCAAACGAACGACAATTTTTGTAAGGCAATTGTTTGATAAAAAGACTTACGTGAAGTGGAATGTAAACATTCGGCGATTTCGCAATTTGAAGCATATTTTCAACGGAAAATGGAATTAGAAGTATTTTCTTGACCAGGTAAAAGCCTCCCACTGCTCAACTCAAACTCAACTCAACCTCTAACTCAGCAAATAGCCAATGCCCTTTAAAAAAAGTATAATTTCTTTTGTGTTTTCATGTTAGCCTCGCATCCGCCAAGATAATTGTGAGAGGGGTCTTTTGCAAATGATAAATTAAACTATCTTTGATACTGACTAGATTTGATCTATAATATTTCTAGCATAAAAGTAATATATTGTGTCTTCTGTAGCAGGGATATTTTATTTATAAATTGCATTAAGCTTAAACCTCTTTTCTTCACACTTACCCCTTCCCACCCCTACAACCATCACTATTCTAATGATCCATCCCACAAATCTGTCTTTAGTACTTGGGGAAACTTTTACTGATAACAGCTGCTATGACATCAAAATCAGAGGTCACAGTCCGTTGCTTCCAAACTGAAGACAGTGTCAGATGTCACACCATATTTACTGAAGGAATGAAGGAGTTATGCATTCCAGTCATGAAGACATTCTATCTAGACTTCCTCAAGATTGCCGCCATCTTCCTGGTAATGGTTAGTGCTATTGCTGTAAAGTGGTCAGTGTGGACTTTGATGGTTTTCTATTTCGTATTGTTGGTCGTAATAACAGCAGCAGCATACGTCTATGTCTATCTATGTGTAATGAACTATATAAACCACTCTCTAAAGTCAGATCTCTTGGACATTGAAAAGTATTATGATGGTCATGATTCCTGCATGTTTGTGGCAGAATGTGACGGCAGAGTGATTGGCATGGTAGGTGTGGCCACTAAAGAGCATCACAAGCCTGGTGTTGCAGAATTACRGCGCATGTCAGTGTCCTCAACAGCTCGTGGCAAAGGGATTGGAAGGATTCTCATGAATAAAGTCATGGACTATTGTAAAGAAAAGAAGTATGGTAGTATAATATTAAGTACCTCAAGTGCTCAGTATGCTGCTGTTGCTTTGTACARAAAACAAGGTTTCAAGGTTGTGAAGAGTCAACGTTTTCCTCATTATTTTCTTTATAATCTATTTGTTTTGCACTTTGAGAAAAATATTTAGACAAGGACGTATTAGGATCTGTGGTGTTAGTCATTCTGAGGTTAAGGGAAAATGGGCAAGGCAGTGCATTGTGGGTCTGTGTTAGGGCACAAAATAACCACCATCTTGGAAATGCCCCCAAAACATTCCCRCAATACACTGTAATGTCAACACRACCTGGTTTTTTAGCTCAACCTCAAAATAGCCAATATGCTTATAGATTGTTTTAATATTTGAACTACAAAAATATATGATTTGTTCTTATAAAAAACACTCTTCTTAAAAAAAACACCATGTCCACTATTTTGGAAAAGGTCGTAGTGATCAAGAGGAATATATTCTATGTTTTATGTTATTTGAAAACAAGAGGAAGTGTTGAATTTTAGGTTAGAACAAAAAAATATATACATAATTTGTAAAAATATTTTCTAAATAATTGGTCAACTTGCATAACAGATTCTGTGTTGAGCATTTGAGAGTCGGTGGCTTATTTTTGTGGCCTCAATCTTGATAAAATTTTGTAAAATTTAGTTRCTGAGTTCCATCGGATTATTAACGAATAGTAGAGTGCAAACATTTTTGGCTCCTTGAAAAGAAATAAGAAAAATTGCGCRTGCACTCTTGAAAAATATGCCTTAATTTTTGTGATAAAAAGTTAGAGGGGTGATACACTGTGCAATGGCGTTGCCCGTTGCCCGAGGGGGGGGGAGAGGGGGGTGCTCCACCAGGATTTGGGTAGGGGTGTTCCGCTTGGATTCCAAAAGGGGTACCCTGTTTATCACAAAAAAACTCAAATTTGTAGACCGTGTTAATGACAAAAGATATGATTAATTGCACTGGGTTCCTTTTTCAATTATCATGTCATCTCGCGTATCGTTTTTTTACGACCATAATAACCAGTTTCGGTCAATACGAAAGTAGAAACCCTGAATATGACAAGAAACTCAGGAAAAAAATTGGAACTTGAGTGAAATTGCATACCCTCTTTATGACAAGAAGCTTGAAAAACCATACCCTGTTCAGCGGATCATCCCCGTATAGTCCATATATGGGAGTACCCCCCCCCCCTCCCCCCAGGGTCCGTTGCTGCGATTCGTTGCAGTAGAACTGAGTTCTACTTCGTGCAACGCTGCGCGCAATAAAAAAAATTAAAAAAATGCGAGACAACCGCTGTTACACTGTGCAATTCGCCAGCAATTTCTCGCAAGGCTTTGCGAAACAAGTTGCTAGGAAAATTGTACAGTGTAACAGGGCCTTTAGTGATAGTTATATGATAACAGTAATGTTTAATGGATATAGTCTTTGCACTCTAAGGCTATTATTTTTTAATATAAACTTCTAATGGTCTATCACAAATCCAGCGCTCTGATTGGCTTAGTTACTAGTTAGTGGTCCAATAGGGATAGACCACTAGTAGCGAAAAGTAGTGGTTTTGAAAACCAAAACAAAGCAAAAATAAATTATTTTAACCTAATTTTAAACTGTTTCGAGGCGAAAAATGATTGACATGTACATTAATAACAAAAGGATTTCGCTTTATGATAGGGTCAGTTAAGTAGACAACCAGAGCCCGGTTGTACGAAGGGTGGATAGCGCTATCCAATGGATAAGACGATGCTGTTCTACAATAAATTGATCCACTGGATAAGGATCTATCCATCGGATACCGCTATCCATCCTTCGTACAACCAGATTGGTAAAGATCATCCATTTGATTATTACGTAACAAATAATAGAATTTTGATAAAATGACAACAATACACTTACACTGAAATAAGATGGTGATTTATTATTTATATACCGCCCTTTCTATATAGATATAATCAAAGACGCTTCACATTGAGTCGTGAATTTCAGAACAACAACGCGACCGCGCGATGCTCCTTACGTCAGTAATATTCAACTGTCCAGAGTTAATATGGTTAATCAAATTCACCTTAAGTTCCATATAGTTCCATATAGTTCCATATATGAATTTGAATTGGCGAAGTGGARAGACGGGACCGCCTTTTAAAATTGTCATCCTTATTACAAAGGCAGCATGGCTTTCTCCTCAGTTATTAAGACCCTGAGTGTTGGTTGGAATCTCTCCTCTGCCCTCCTCTAAAAGGCAAATCTGATTGTATGTCAAGCCAATAGTATCAGACGTTAGATGGGATGCTGGGGCACTTGCCGTTTAATTTGCCATCGTCCCTACATTCAGTATGACCAGTTAGATCCTTCCAGAACGCTTCATAAAATTGTCGAAATTCAGTACAGTGACCCGTTGCGAAAAAGGTTGCCAAAAACAGTTCAGTTATTCTAGTAATGCCGAGCACTAATCACGTGACTTTCGTGCTACTGCACGGTCTGTAAATCCCTCCTGCTCATGTACTCAGATTAAMTCCGTGCCCCGGCACGAGATTTTGAGACTGAGACAACTACAAAATAGCTTAGCAGTACACATCCGTTGGTCCCTCAGAGGCTAAGTACTGGGACTATGGGGGGGGGGGGGGGGGGGGGGGGGGGGGGGGGGGGATGAGTGAGAAGTACCAAACCACGACAATAGACCCCCTTGCAACACTTCGGAATACAGCTTAATTTTTGTTTTAATTCCCTCCAAATTGGGCTCCTTTGATCAAGCTGGGGGTCTATTCTCAAATATATGTGTACTAATATGTACTAATATGTACAAAACTGGATTTAAAACTTTAAACTGGCCTAGGACTCAAGTGATTTTTCTTTCCGTATAAGTCCTTATGGACTCATTAGAAATTGTCCAGTAAATGTTTTGGCCAGTCGACTCTTCTTTAGACAATTATATCTTTTCTGAGTGGGATGTTGACTAAAGGATGTAATATTGCCCCTGTATATGTTCGCGGAGAATGATCCCAAAACGGAAAACCAAAAGTTTCAGTTGCCCAGGGGTCTTGTACCAACATGTTTTGCTGATTAATGTCAGTAAATGTCTGTGATGAAACGTAAGCAGTGTTTTTGTCATGTCCAGGTTTAATTTGAAATTCAAAACTATTATAAGCATACTAAATATAAATCTATCATTATATCTAATATACATCTGTATCTTATCTAATCATATATCTATTATATCTAATTGGTTTATTGTTTGATACTGAGACGGCTAAATTACTCATATATTTACAAAGCGTAAGTTTCATGTAATATATGCACTCATCTTATTTTCATCTGTTTTCATTTAATCAAAAACAAATACAGTTCAAATTCGATCACATTAATACAGTGTCTAGGTAGACTTTGTAGATAGTTAGCCAAGTYAGCTTAGGTTTGGTTGACCAAGTTCTGATGGGATATCGAAGACTTGTTTCTTCATATCTCCGCGCCAGTATGAGTTCCATGTTTGAATCCAATCTTCTTTGCCTTCGGTAGAGAAGACAAACTAAGTTTGAAATCGCCAACGCCATCATTCGATTGTTTTTCAATTCAAAACCTGATGTTYGTATGACTGCCACGTTTGGTATGAAAAACAACGGCCAGTGGWCTTTGGATCTTTTGGTCTTTTTGAAGCATTTCGGTCACAGCATTATCTCCGCCATACTTGCAATTGAGCAGATTACATTCGCTTGAGTTTCTTGTCGACATCTGATCAACTGTTATCGAGGGCAGCTTAAATCTCGAGCTCAAAGCAATCTAAAGACAGTTCCTCTAGAACCTTTTGTGGATAGGGAAATTGGGTAACTATTTGGAAACCACACTTTTTGTACAATGCTTTGGCTCCAGATTGAGCTCCAGTTGTTGACAAAATGATTTTATTGAAATCTTTTCGTTTAGCAACAGCAATGAGTTCCTTGCAAAGTGAATTAGCGATTCCTCTTCTTCGTACGGATCGTGACACTGACATACGCTGCAACTCTACAGCTCCTGGCTTGTGCTGGTCACTGTGCATCATGCCTACCATTCCTACTACTTCTCCGTGAAATTCAGCTATGAACATGCAGGAATCACCTTTGTAGCTATCAGAAATGTCAAGCAAATCCGAGTTTAAACATCCGCTTACAAACTTCATGACTTGAATGTAAATGTTTATGTAAAGAAGAGCTGTTAGGATGACACAAAGTATGATGTACAATCCGACGATCCACAACGACCAGCGAAAGGCAACAGCCAAAACGAGGATCAAAAACACGCTTGCAATTTTCAAGTATCTTGGAAAAACAATATCCATTACAGGATTAACTAGCTGTTGCATTCCTTCAGTGAAGATTTCACGGCATCTGCTGTAGTCCTCCTGCTTGTAGGGGCGTATCGTCACTTCTTGTGACAAACTTGAGTCTTTGTTGTTCAAGGCGTCCATGTTGTCTGAAGAGGTAAATAGCATAAGGTAAATGACTTGTCTTCTAATCTATCAGATCACCCGTACCCTGAAGAACTGCAAAACATTGATCTAAATTTAGAAAGGTTTTTAGTGGCGGACATGACGAATTTGATATCAGCCGACCTAACCTCAAGGTGAGTGTTGATCCTTCTACTTATGTTTCTCAAAGGATTCGCAAAGGAATGTAAATGCACAGTTGGTCGCATTAAGTTTTTTTCTCGCTCACGATTAACGACAGGAAAACAACTAAAATGATTATGTATGTTTAAAAGCGATGCCACGATTCCAAATGCGTTGAACTTGGAAGCCAATGAGCAGTGCTCAAGCCTTACTGCACAATTCATGTCTGTCTAACGTAATTTCCCAAGATTTTAGCACCCGTCGATAAAATCCGTTTCATTAGTACATGCTTATATCGATTCTTACGGAATAATAGAGTTGCTATTCAATATGTAATCAGGTCCAAAATGGTTTTCATTGCGCAAAAATGCGTGAAATAAGACAGAACTCAAAATCAAAGCCTCTCTAGTTTAAAATACACTTTTATGCCCGACTTTTAACAGTTGCCTTTATTGTTACTATCTCGTTCTTCGTGTGTATTTACCTTTGAGTGGTTCGTCCTCTGTTTCGTACTGCTGTTGACTTTCTGGCTCAGTTGATATTAACTGCACTGTGTTGTGGCTGGATCTGGCGATAGATCAGCGCACCATGGGCTATTTATATCGGTTCGTGCCCTATTAGTACGTGCCATGTCCGCATATCATGTTGTTCGCAGACTCWCACACATGCGGGCCATCACGTTCTTATGATTAAGGATACGTGAGGTCGACTTTTTAGGACCCCTACAAGAAAGAAGGGACATTTGGCACTGCCTTGCATCACACAAGCACGAATGTATATTCTATCATGTATAATGATATTGCTTGAACACCACAATATTATTTTTGATTAATGACACCAATCTTTATTCTGTTGCAACTGAAAAAAATACATAAAAAAACAAAAATTACACAAAAGAAAAGCGACMTTGCAGCCTTCGTTGGTAAATCTGGGAAACGTCCTTTCGTGGCTCTCTGCTGTCTTTCGCAATTTGCAGAGAAGAGCACAGGGTACATAAGGGGGGATAGGGGGCGGGGAGGGGGAATATTCGAATTATGAAATTATATAAGATTAAAAAAAAGGAACAGCATAGGCGTAGAAATGTGTAATAGAGTCATAAGCCGAAGTAGCAAAAGGGTAGAACATCAAAGCATTTATGGTCAATGATTGTTTACGCTGATGTACGATAAGTCRGAAACCATGCCAGCGGGAGCCATTTTACCGCGAGCAGGAAAATGAGAATCGTACCAGGATCTAACAGTCACAGAGTGTCACGATCATTCTATTTTCTATACCCTTTGGCTATTCATCAAAGAAAACGTCGTAGTACACTATTCAACTAAACAAAAGATAGTTCCTGAAGCGTGTGGGGAGGGAAATGAATATTCCATTCAGCGTGAGCAAGAACGTGAGTACAAACTATTATGTAATCATGCCAAGGTATCAGGAGGGGATTTGGACATTTATAAGCGTTACCTCAAATATTTTGCCATAATATAGATATGTAAATTTTTCGAGCTAGTTTTTAACGGTAAACTGACGAAATTTAATCCATTAGGAAAGAAAACACAAGAGGAGAAAGTCCCTTTGAGGACGTGCATCCTAGTCTAGTTTGAGTTTTCAACACCATGACAATTTTTATGTTGACAAACAATGTTGACAAACAATGTTGACAAACAATGTACAACTTAATTGACGTAGAAGGTAGAAAGAAAAAAAGAAAGAAAGAAAGAAAGAAAGAGAGAAAGAATTGCCTAGACAATGGAAAGTCAATAATGAAAATAATATTTCCTGGTCAAAGAAATCATTCATAGTTTGGGAAACATTGAGACTTCAAACCAGCCAAGTGTGATGATGTCGCCATGTCTTCGTTTTAAAGGAACTTTACGTTTAAGCTCACGTGTAACAACCGTGTCCAGACGTCTTTTAAACTGGAAGTCCCAAATTTAGCCCAAACATTTTTAAAATAGTACAATGCATACTTACTTAGCCCAGAGCAGTTTCACCGTCAAGTGAGTAAGTGCACGGTGTCGTCATCTTGCTCGGGTTTCCAGCTACATGATTATGCCTARTAAGTGCAAGGCATACATAAATGTTACGTGACTAAGAGGTTTTCATAAAAGGCCAGGYCGTCCTGGTCGGACTTKGTGGCAAMGTAYGYGACACTCATCAGCTGTTGCACGCAGCTTTTAGAAGCCCAGGAAATTGTAGGTCATTTGAAAGCTCAGTTGGCTTTCATATGCCCGGGTGGCCAAGCCGAGAGAAATCCCTAAAAGGTTGGGAATTTCCCTGGACGTCTTTCATAGTCCAATCTAAAAATATATACGTAACATTAACTGCGCGTGCCCATCCTTTTGACAAATYTGAACAATTTGGGGACAACGCGCAWTATTATTTACATGGCCTAATTCTGCCGTAGATATTTGGTTACTACTAGGCAGATTAAGATTYCCGTTTTTCCTTACCGCAAACGGCAAACGTGACCACGTTTTCATCGTTTCCCTACATTTCACTTTACCTTTTGCAAACCTTCTCGACAAAGACACATATTCTTATTTTTATCTACTCATTGGAGATTTTTGCGATTCCTTTTCACTAATTTTAAGGAATTTTTTGATGGTCAACTGACGTTTCACGTTTGCCGTTAACGAGAGTCTTAAACTCTCTACTGACAGATCAGTTGTAATATGTGCTTCAGTTAGAAGTGAAAACTAGTATGAATACTAATACCAATTAATTTGGTCCACTTTCAATCTACAACTGCATTGAATATAGAGGTTTTG